TGGGGGATACAGGAAACATCAGACATGACAAAACAAATCAAGCAGTGTTAACGTAAATTTCATTGCTATGGTTTGAGCATTCAGAGCTCTCTAACCGCCCTGCGCCCTTTTCTTTTTACAGCCCCTCTTCCATCAATTTTAGCTAGGTAATTAGATATTTTTTTAATTTTTGAAAATATTAAATCTATTTTACAGCCGGTTCAAATGTAGACATTAAAGTGAAAAGAATAGATAAGAAGAAATTCAATTACACAAACTAGGAATCTAGATATAGAGAGCAGACAAAATGTCAAATCTAACTACACATGAAATATACGGTTTTATATTGTGTGGGTATGGCGATTAACTAATGCGTTTTAATAGAGCTCAATGTGAAATCGATCTTTCCGTAATTAGTATGTGGAATAAATCATGAATTGCCTGCTGATTACATGATCGATCAGTCAACTGACTGTTGTCTCTACCTGGCATGATGACTGTCATGGATTTCCGATAAGCTCTGCAGACCGGCTGCCCTTTAAATAGCATGTCGTAAAAGGCAGCTAATTTCGGCTTTGTTGAAATTTGATAATGTGTGCTGAAACAGGCCGATACCATAACCTAGCTGTAAACCACAAAGGAACGTTGTGTTAAATACGTTCATAGAGGGGTACACATCCTCGTGTCTTTTAAATAATTTCTTAGAGGTGTACACATTATCGTGTCAGTTAAATACCTTCTTAGAGGTGTACACATTATCGTTTCAGTTATATACGTTCTTAGAGGTGTACACATTATCGTGTCAGTTATATACCTTCTTAGAGGGGTAGCACATCATCGTGACTGTTAAATAAGTTCTTAGAGGGGTAACACATCCTCGTGTCTGTTATATACATTCTTAGAGGGGTAACACATCCTCGTGTCTGTTATATACATTCTTAGAGGGGTAACACATCCTCGTGTCTGTTATATACATTCTTAGAGGGGTAACACATCCTCGTGTCTGTTATATACATTCTTAGAGGGGTAACACATCCTCGTGTCTGTTATATACATTCTTAGAGGGGTAACACATCCTTGTGTCTGATATATACATTCTTAGAGGGGTAACACATCCTCGTGTCTGTTATATACATTCTTAGAGGGGTAACACATCCTCATGTCTGTTATATACATTCTTAGAGGGGTAACACATCCTCGTGTCTGTTATATAAATTCTTAGAGGGGTAACACATCCTCGTGTCTGTTATATACATTCTTATAGGGGTAACAAATCCTCGTGTATGTTATATACATTCTTAGAGGGGTAACACATCCTCGTGTCTGTTAAAGACATTCTTAGAGGGGTAACACATCCTCGTGTCTGTTATATACATTCTTAGAGGGGTAACACATCCTCGTGTCTGTTATATACATTCTTAGAGGGGTAACACATCCTCGTGTCTGTTATATACATTCTTAGAGGGGTAACACATCCTTGTGTCTGTTATATACATTCTTAGAAAGGTAACACATCCTCGTGTCTGTTATCTACATTCTTAGAGGGATAACATATCCTTGTGTCTGTTATATGCGTTCTTAGAGGGGTAACACATCCTTCTGTCTATTATATACGTTCTTAAAGGGGTAACACATCCTCGTGTCTGTTATATACGTTCTTAGAGGGGTAACACATCCTTGTGTCTGTTATATACGTTCTTAGAGGGGTATAAGGGGGCCGACCATCCAGAAAGCAATAGCAAACTACGAGACGAAAATTTGCCTAGAGAAACCACACAACAGCCTGGGGCTGCTGGGGTTTGCTTCTGCAACGTCCTGTAATCCATACACTTAAACTGGCTGACAGTTGACTGGCGCAAGTACTACGCACTCCCGCCAGCAACGGTCAGCTACACATGGATTTTCCATTCACCACACAACTCTAGATGTTTGCAGTCAGCCGTGAATATCAAGCAACCTTTGTTCCACAACTTTAAGTAGCTCAAATGTTAACACTTACAAGCCCTCACCACAACATGAATGCCCGTATGTACCCATGTTTCACAAGGCCCTGACTCTTGACACATGAGAGTAACTTTTACATACAACAGTGTCAACCAGTTTTGAACGCAAAAGACGAACAATCTAGTGAGACACTGTTGGAGACAGCTCTAGTTCCATCTTTTCAAGTTATCTTTCCCTTTGTACCGCTACCACCCATTTACTCTCCTGATTTTCTGTGGTCGTTCCATTGTGTTTTCATAGGAATGGTTAGCATTTTAATGTTGTTCAAATGTTTGATTTTATTTCCCCCAGCTGCTTACCTTTTATTGAAAGCTTATTTTTTTTTTACAACTGGAGAGTTCTTTGTTTTCTCAAGTCAAGTCTGTGTAACTGATTATTTATGGATATGTTTGTAAATATGTAAAAAAAAAGCCAGCTATGCCTTGATTGTGAAAGCAGAAAAAGGAGGAGGTGATCAGGAAGAGGTTGAGAAAGAGGATAAGGAGGAGAAGAAGACGAAGAAGAAGAAGAAGAAGAAGAAAAGAAGAAGAAGAAGAAGAAGAAGAAGAAGAAGAAGAAGAAGAAGAAGAAGAAGAAGAAGACGAAGAAGAAGAAGAAGAAGAAGAAGAAGAAGAAGAAGAAGAAGAAGAAGAAGAAGAAGAAGAAGAAAAAGAAGAAGAAGCAGAAGCAGAAGCAGAAGCAGAAGCAGAAGAGAAGAAGAAGAAGAAGAAGAAGAAGAAGAAGAAGAAGAAGAAGAAGAAGAAGAAGAAGAAGAAGAAGAAGAAGAAGAAGAAGAAGAAGAAGAAGAAGAAAAAGAAAAAGAAACAGAAACAGAAACAGAAACAGAAACAGAAACAGAAACAGAAAAAGAAACAGAAACAGAAACAGAAACAGAAACAGAAACAGAAGCAGAAACAGAAGCAGAAGCAGAAGCAGAAGCAGAAGCAGAAGCAGAAGCAGAAGCAGAAGCAGAAGAAGAAAAGGAAGAAGAAAAGGAAGAAGAAAAGGAAGAAGAAAAGGAAGAAGAAAAGGAAGAAGAAAAGGAAGAAGAAGAAGAAGAAGAAGAAGAAGAAGAAGAAGAAGAAGAAGAAGAAGAAGAAGAAGAAGAAGAAGAAGAAGAAGAAGAAGAGAAGAAGAAGAGAAGAAGAAGAAGAAGAAGAAGAAGAAGAAGAAGAAGAAGAAGAAGAAGAAGAAGAAGAAGAAGAAGAAGAAGAAGAAGAAGAAGAAGAAGAAGAAGAAGAAGAAGAAGAAGAAGAAGAAGAAGAAGAAGAAGAAGAAGAAGAAGAAGAAGAAGAAGAAGAAGAAGAAGAAGAAGAAGAAGAAGAAGAAGAAGAAGAAGAAGAAGAAGAAGAAGAAGAAGAAAGAAGAAGAAGAAGAAGAAGAAGAAGAAGAAGAAGAAGAAGAAGAAGAAGAAGAAGAAGAAGAAGAAGAAGAAGAAGAAGAAGAAGAAGAAGAAGAAGAAGAAGAAGAAGAAGAAGAAGAAGAAGAAGAAGAAGAAGAAGAAGAAGAAGAAGAAGAAGAAGAAGAAGAAGAAGAAGAAGAAGAAGAAGAAGAAGAAGAAGAAGAAGAAGAAATACGAAGAAAATTAAAAAGAAAACATGAGGAGCAGGAGAAATAGCGAAAGAAGAAGGTATATTAGTAGCAACAGTAGCTGCACCAGGATCATCATCATCATCAGCAGCAGCAACAGCAGCAGTAGTAGTAGTCATCGTCGTCGTCGTCGTAGTAGTAGCAGCAACAATAGCAGCAGTATTACCAAAAGCAACGACAGCGGCAGCAGCTGCAGCAGCAGTAGATGTAGTAGCATGCGATGACAGCATAAAATGGCTTTCCACCATCACATGTTCGGGTCATTTGTTGCCCATTTCACCTGTATAGCAATCCATCCCACTCCACATAACCAGCCCCTATTTTACAATGATCATATCTAGATCTTCAGAACTAAGTTTTGTTGCTCGTGTCACGAACTGTGACATTGACAGCACTGATATCTTATTCTGGTAAACTGCTTTTGCAATGAACCATTAGTTTCACATCGCTTTTAAGTGCTGTTATCTAATTGTTATAAAATGCATTTATTTTGTAAAACATCCAACGACAGGAATTGTTGCATTGACATTTCTACATATTAGAATATTGATATTTTAAATGCAACACTGTCGTCTGTGGGAGGATGGAGGGAGGGGAAGCTGGAGTGGATGGAGTGTTTATGGCCCCACCCTAGCTATTCTAGAGATGGAAGAGTGTGTTCGGTGTTCAAACCTTGTTTTATTGCTCAATAATAGTTAATATTATTTTTGCGCGAAAAACTAGGCGTAATCGCTGTGAGTCCCCTGCCCTTACAATTTTTTTGGGAAGGGCACTGGAAGGGTTTAATCCTTGTTTGATTGCCCAATAATAGTATTGAAAATAATTTTGATTAACATTGTTTATTACTATGTGGTAAATTGCACTACAATTTGTGTGTACAAATGAGTAAATGTGCTGTAAAAGCGAACAACTATGTCTGATGAGACGTGGGTGGCCAGGTGGCTCGTCCCTTCAAAAAACATATGCCTTCTGTGTGTAGCCTTCATTTTGTAGCTTTCAGTTGAACACTGGCATTCATCTAACTGATGCCAACCATTTATTTAGACGATTTATTGGTAGGAGTTGGATCTTGAATTGTAGCGTGAGGTAGGGCCACCCCTAAATTACTTCCCGTCCTTTTTAGGATGACATTTTTCGTTTTTTTTTTGAAGCCCTACTCTGGCTCTTGCCAGGGGCCGCAATATAGCCCGGCCATAGATATGGTCTAATGGCTGAACGCGGTTTCTGGGACCTCTCGACGGTAATCCTCATCCACATGGTGGCACATTGTGTCATCGGGTGTTTATCGCTTGTGTGATGTCCTGGTGGGGTAGAAAGTCGCCTCTTAGGACACACCCAAGGTTGTTATCCTAATCTTCCGCTTTGAGCCTCAACCTAAGCGCCATATTGACAATAAAACATGGCCATTGTCAGGTTGTCAATGAATGAACTCTGCTCTTATTCTCCAGCCGATGAAGACGAGGACGAGGAAGAAGCAGAAGAGAAACTACCTTCATGTATGGACTATGTGATGCATTTCTTAACGCTCTTCTGGAAAATAATGTTTGCATTTGTGCCTCCCACAGGTTGGTGTTTTATGTCACATACAGAAGTTTTTTACCTGTCAAACATATCTTATGTTTTTTTAGATTTGTGCGAATGTTCGCATGTGTTATAGCAGTGATTCCGAAACTGCGCGCCCCGGGGAGCCGCGAAATATTGTGAAACTTCATAATTAATGCGGCGTCCGTGGCTTCGGCATTGCGAGTCCGACTCGTAATCCAACTTACCGCGATCGAAACCCACTGCAGGCTGCGTGGATTTTTATCATGGTATGGGGCGTCGCAGGTCGACCCAGCCTAAAATGGGTACCAGGACGGGCTGTCCTGGCAAAGTATGTACAGCCGGCGTAATGCTGACCACATTACCCACCGAGTGCTGATGGTCTGTAAAAATATGGGCGCTCTTCCCAAATGCCCGATACGTCTAACGGCTTACTTTACTTTCATAATTAATTGAACCAAGATACGAATAGTCATACTTTCACTTAGGTTAGGGCGCCGTGGAAAATTGTAATTGAAAAAAAGGGGCCACGACCAACAAACAGTTAGGAAACACTGTGTCAGTGTGTGTGTAAATATATATATACATATATACTGTTTGTTTTAGTATCCAGAAGCTATGAGTTGTTAACCCTTAGGCTCGGTATTATGGATATCGCAACCTTTCGGCCTTGATTCCATTGTAAATACCGTAAATCTGGGAGAAAATGTGGCTTTCCTGCCTACCCCCGGGATTGAACTCGGACCACAAGGAGTTCGTCACCCGGTCTCCGCGCAATCCGGTTTATTCTAGAACATTCAATAATAGAAAATGGCGAAAGCAAGAAATATAGATCGGCCAAAAGTAAGAAAAAATAACGAATGAAAACAGAATAACTGACAGATAATGCAGAAGCAAATAACAGAGGGAAAATACGTGTACTGCAAAGGCATCCAGTCAAAGCAAAGAATGGAGACGAGATGTAAACGAGACCTGGAGAGAGGAGGCGAGACATGTAAATGAGACTTGGAGAGAGGAGGCGAGACATGTAAACGAGACTTGGAGAGAGGAGGCGAGACATGTAAACGAGACTTGGAGAGAGGAGGCGAGACATGTAAACGAGACTTGGAGAGAGGAGGCGAGACATGTAAACGAGACTTGGAGAGAGGAGGCGAGACATGTAAACGAGACTTGGAGAGAGGAGGCGAGACATGGAAACGAGACCTGGGGAGAGGAGGCGAGAATCGCAGATAACAAAATTAAAAAATAAAGACAGACAGATATACAGAGTAAGAAGCAGACAAAAAAGATCGGAGAGGAGAAGAGGGAGATGAAAGGGGTAGGGAAAGAAGTGGAAAGACGGGCAAACTCATAAAATAGATACTCTGAGATACAAGCAAGCAAGCAGACAGACAAACATCAAATTGACAGACATATCATGATTATATCCCCCTGAAGATAACCTGACATATGTTGATTATATCCCCCTGAAGATAACCTGACATATCATGATTATATCCCCCTGAAGATAACCTGACATATCATGATTATATCCCCCTGAAGATTACCTGACATATCATGATTATATCCCCCTGAAGATAACCTGACATATGTTGATTATATCCACCTGAAAATAACCTGACATATCATGATTATATCCCCCTGGAGATAACCTGACATATCATGATTATATCCCCGTGAAGATAACCTGACATATCATGATTATATCCCCCTGAAGATAACCTGACATATCATGATTATATTCCCCTGGAGATAACCTGACAAATCATGATTATATCCCCCTGAAGATAAACTGACATATCATGATTATATCCCCCTGAGGATAACCTGACATATCATGATTATATCACCCTGAAGATAACCTGACATATCATGATTATATCCTCCTGAAGATAACCTGACATATCATGATTATATCCCCCTGAAGATAACCTGACATATCATGATTATATCCCCCTGAAGATAACCTGACATATCATGATTATATCCCCCTGAAGATAACCTGACATATCATGATTATATCCCCCTGAAGATAACCTGACAAATGTTTCTGGCTTTTATTGCAGATTATTTCAGTGGCTGGGCCTGCTTCTGTGTGTCCATCGCGCTCATCGGGGTACTGACCGCCGTCATCGGTGACCTGGCTTCCAGTTTCGGTTGTACTGTGGGACTTAAAGACTCCGTGACGGCCATCTCCTTTGTGGCTCTAGGCACTAGTGTTCCAGGTAGGGCCGCTGTAACTGGACCTTCAGTGAAATGATCATTATAGTTTTAACATCTAGGAGAAACTGCTTCTCCTCTTTCTCCATTCACCCCACCGAACTATTGGCGGAAATGTAAGTATCTTTCATGTGCTGTGTCTAGCTTGATATTCGAGAGAGGACTTCATTTCCTGAGGGTGTCCTTGACGCTGTCATTCCATATTCTGTATTGTATTTCTCTTGCGTGTTTATGATATTTCTTCAGCAGTTCCTTTAGGGCAGTTGGCGCCAGGGCATTCTCGTCAATGGCCAAACGATTCTATCCGTTTTTCTTTAGAGAACTGTAAGACTGCTTTTGTCCTATTCTTTGGAGAATTTCTCTATTTTAAATCGCATCTGTTCTTGCTACTGTAACCGCTGTTCTAAGACATGTGGTCACTGTTCTTGCTACTGTGACAGTTGTTTTAAGACATCTGGTCACTGTTCTTGCTACTGTGTCAGCTGTTCTAAGACTTCTGGTCACTGTTCTTGCTACTGTAACCGCTGTTCTAAGACATGTGGTCACTGTTCTTGCTACTGTTTTAGCTGTTCTAAGAGATGTGGTCACTGTTCTTGCTACTGTTTTAGCTGTTCTAAGACATGTGGTCACTGTTCTTGCTACTGTTTTAGCTGTTCTAAGAGATCTGGTCACTGTTCTTGCTACTGTTTTAGCTGTTCTTAGACATCTGGTCACTGTTCTTGCTACTGTGTCAGCTGTTCTAAGACATCTGGTCACTGTTCTTGCTACTGTGTCAGCTGTTCTAAGACATCTGGTCACTGTTCTTGCTACAGTGTCAGCTGTTCTAAGACATTTGGTCACTGTTCTTGCTACTGTGCCAGCTGTTCTAAGACATCTGGTCACTGTTCTTGCTACTGTGCCAGCTGTTCTAAGACATCTGGTCACTGTTCTTGCTACTGTGCCAGCTGTTCTAAGACATCTGGTCACTGTTCTTGCTACTGTGCCAGCTGTTCTAAGACATCTGGTCACTGTTCTTGCTACTGTGATAGCTGTTCTAAGACATCTGGTCACTGTTCTTGCTACTGTTTTAGCTGTTCTAAGACATCTGGTCACTGTTCTTGCTACTGTGCCAGCTGTTCTAAGACATCTGGTCACTGTTCTTGCTACTGTGTCAGCTGTTCTAAGACTTCTGATCACTGTTGCTTTGGTGATTGTGTCTCTTTAGTTTAAGCAAGTGTTCATGTAAGACACTGGTTCCGTAAAGTTAGTCCGAATAACAAATTTATAGATTTGCGTTGCCAAACAGGGGAAGCAATTATGTGTATTATATAGCACTGTTTTTAAAATGTGTGTCCCCTTCAATGTTGTGCAATAATTGTTTATATTTGTTAGCCAATATTGTATACTGTACACGTGCATGATGTACACATTGATGTGTACCTGCCTGCGTCTGTGTGAGTGTATGTATGTGTGTGTGTGTGTGTGTGTGTGTGTGTGTGTGTGTGGGTAATTCCCCACCTTCATGATTGAGAACATTCTTCTTGTCTGTCAGTCTGTCTGTCTGTCTGTCTGTCTGTCTGTCTGTCTGTCTGTCTGTCTGTCTGTCTGTCTGTCTGTCTGTCTGTCTGTCTGTCTGTCTGTCTGTCTGTCTGTCTGTCTGTCTGTCTGTCTGTCTGTCTGTCTGTCTGTCTGTCTGTCTGTCTGTCTGTCTGTCTGTCTGTCTGTCTGTCTGTCTGTATTCATGCATGCATGATGATTGTATTCTCATGCAAAGTTCGTTGAAACAAACATCTGATAAAGCCATACCGAGAACACATTGATAAGCCAATAATTTCCCCTTCACTCACTCATTCATTCAGCGTGATTGCCTCCAAATGTTCGATTTCTCCACTACACACATACGGTCTGTTTTACAGTTAGGCAGGTTGTCAACTGTAGTCAGACACACCTGTATACATTTCTTACCCACACGGATTCACACACAGACACCCACACACATACACACACACACACTCACTCACTCACAACGAGAGAGACTCTCATACACACTCAACTTTTCTGTGCTCCCATTCCTCCTTTCCACACACACATATCAACACATACATACACACACATACGAGTGTCTCCGTTTATCGTCCTCACCATACTTGATGATAACTTTTTCTCGTCCATCTAACGCACACACACAGACACACACTCATTTCTATTTCTTGTCCATCCCACAAACAACCTTCTCTGTTTGTCATACACACACAATTTTAACTGCACACATACAACTGTCTATATTTCTTGTTGGTTACTGAGGTAGTAGACGGATCATGTGTGCGAATGTCTTGTCAGCAATGGGCTTATATCTTGATTTATTTATTCTGTCATACATTCATTGAATCATTCTGTTTCTGGTTCCCCTGCAGACACATTTGCCAGTAAGGTTGCCGCCATTAACGACCGCTACGCCGACTCCTCCATCGGCAACGTCACCGGAAGCAACGCCGTCAACGTTTTCCTGGGCATCGGCATCGCCTGGACCATCGCTGCCGTCTACCACGCCGTCAATGGGCGGGAGTTCGTGGTGCCCGCTGGGGATTTGGCCATGTCCGTCACCGTCTACTGTGTCCTGGCTCTAGTGGCTATCGCCTTAATCATGGCTCGCCGGCACCGAGCCGTGGGCGGTGAACTTGGGGGACCTGTCAAATTCAAAAGGCCCACTTCAATTATTTTAATGTTATTCTGGATTCTCTACCTTCTCATTTCAGCTTTTGTGTCTTATTGTTATATTCCAGGGTTCTAAACGATTTTTACCACTCCTAAACTTTTACATTTGCAAAACTTTTATGTTTAAAGTTTATATTTACAATTTTAACTTCTGTGTTAAGAAATATGCACTGAGGCTCTTTGGGGTCACGCGATATCCAAATGATGTTATTTTAGCATGTAGACTGGGAAGTGTACACGTAAATGGTGTCAAGAGTCGCATTTCAAACGTCTAAGTTTGATTATCTTGGAACAACATTCACTGAAGATGGTAAATTTGACCAAGAAATAAACATCTAATGCAGTAAAGCAGGCCAGGTATTGCAACAGCTATACCCCCCCCCCCCCTCCCCTCTTACAGCATAATGCAATCCCAATCAGCCAGACATGGTCACTCACAACACAACATAAAAAAGAATTATTAACATAGAAATGAGGTGTATGAGAAAGGCTGTAGGAGTGGCCAGAAGAGACCAAATCATGATGAGGTCATACGAGATAAAGTCTGCACAGAACACATTTTAAATTACATACAAAGACAGCAAATCAAATGTTTTGCCTACGTGGAGAGAATGCTTCCTGATGCTATACCACACAAGGAAAATACCAGAGCGGGACCTTATATCTGCCTCCATACCCGGAGCAGGACCTTATATCTGCCTCTACACCCGGTGCAGGACCTTATATCTGCCTCCATACCCGGAGCAGGACCTTATATCTGCCTCTACACCCGGAGCAGGACCTTATATCTGCCTCCACACCCGGTGCAGGACCTTATATCTGCCTCCACACCCGGTGCAGGACCTTATATCTGCCTCCACACCCGGTGCAGGACCTTATATCTGCCTCCACACCCGGAGCAGGACCTTATATCTGCCTCCATACCCGGAGCAGGACCTTATATCTGCCTCTACACCCGGTGCAGGACCTTATATCTGCCTCCACACCCGGTGCAGGACCTTATATCTGCCTCCACACCCGGTGCAGGACCTTATATCTGCCTCCACACCCGGTGCAGGACCTTATATCTGCCTCCACACCCGGTGCAGGACCTTGTATCTGCCTCCACACTCGTTGCAGGACCTTATATCTGCCTCTACACCCGGTGCGGGACCTTATATCTGCCTCCACACCCGGAGCGGGACCTTATATCTGCCTCCACACCCGGAGCGGGACCTTATATCTGCCTTCACACCCGGTGCAGGACCTTATATCTGCTTCCACACCCGGAGCGGGACCTTATATCTGCCTCCACACCCGGAGCGGTGAGAGAGGACGTCAAGAAAAAGAATAATTTCAAAGACCTCAAAGAATCAAACAGTTTGGTTCTCTGGTCAAAATGGACCAAAGTCAGCCAGCAAGCAGAGCGTACTACGTGAGAACAGCAGGCTATGACGAGAGGTTGACCAGAACAGAGATGGGTGGAGGCAGTCAAATGGACACAATATGACAATAACACAAGCTACGTAACTTGCAAAGACATAAAGCTACATCTGACCAAGCTGTCTGTGGCTTTACGTCATAAACATTAGAAGAAAAGAGGAAAAAGAAAATGGAGAGGACGAAGAAGAAGAAGAGAAAGAAAAAGATGGAGAGAGCGGAGAAGGAGAGGAAGAAGACAGTGAATTTGACTTTCTGTAGTTCAATACGTCAATGCTATTGCATAAAACTGACATGACAAATGAAGCAAACAAGTGATTACTTAATTATGTTTGTAGTTTGTCCTAATTTGTAAATAGCATTTTCATTGTACATAGAAAACTTACTTATATCAGTAGATTATCTGGTCATTATTTGTTGATTAAGTATTACTAAATAGAGTAATATATGACACGACAGTTTTACTTTCCAACAAAATATGTTATTTTGTATTTTCATATGCATCCAGAAATTATTTCTTCAATTTACAGTTGTCATTCTAGTCATAGTTGATTGTGGAGACAAATGATTTGTTTTTCTGTGAAAAGTGTTGTTAAAACAGTGTTGGTAAACTGTGTTGGTAAAACAGTGTTGGTAAACTGTGTTGGTAAAACAGTGTCGGTAAAACAGTGAATATTCTAATGAAAGTTGAAAGGAATGTTGATTTCCCTTCCTAAAAACAGAGATTATTGCTAATACCGTTGACATAATTGTGAAGTTAATGGTGATGTGATTGAAATAATGTAGACATACCCAATGCATTGCCTAATTCATTTCCTGACATGAATCGCTGCATCCGTCAGGCACCTTACTACAGAGGTACATCAACAAAGAACAAAGAATTAACATGAATCCTATTCAACTGAAATACATAAAACAGTTAGTTAGTTGCGTATCCTTTACAGGACGTTGCAGAACCAACCCTAGCATTTTGAAGGTAGGGGGAGGGCTGTTGTAGCTTTTCTAGGCAACTTTACATCCAGTAATTTGCCATTGCCTTTGGACGGTCGGCTTCCCGATACTACTGTTGAAGCCAACGCAAGGCTCAAGGTCCGCAGCTGGGCTCGAACCCACCACCCCGGCATTACGAAGCACGTTCGCAACACCTAAGCCACAAACACCAACATAAAATAAAGAAAAGCAAAATATATCTTGTAAAACATTATGCATTGTTTTGTTTGGTACACGTTATTTCAATGTATCCAGACACTAGTGTTGTGAATGTTGAGTAGAATGTTAAGCTTTTGTGTGTGTGAAGGTGAGAACTGTGATTTTTCCTTGTGTAGAAATGTTAACTAATATTGAAATTCAATGTGTAAAAGCTAGAAATATTTCTATTCTGTTGTAAAATCTACATTGTGTTGAGTTTATCCTGTGAAATTTGAAATAACGTGGTTTTTTTTTTTCACTTGTGAGCAGATTCAAATAATGTTGATACTGCATCTGTGAAAATTGGATGTGCTATTGTTGTGGTCTGTTATATTTCTTTGCGTCCAGTCTTGTAGTGTTTTGTTGGCGGTGAGTTCTGGCGTCAACATTTCTATGCAAAAGCTTTATTTGAATCCTTGTTGTTTGGAAAACACGGATCAGAATATTCTTGTCTCATTCTATTGATTATTGGTATTTTTTTTAAATGATATTGGTATTGATTATAGTTACAGGGTAAATAACTTTTAGCGCACTGTTTGCTGCACAACTGATGCAGTTTAAAGTTTGAGGTTTGAACAACGGATCAACATGGCACACGGGTAGTAACCCATTAGTTCTCCGTTTTTCTTCGAACTCAAGTCTGAGTCCAAAGAAGCTCAGCACAGTGCACAGGCTCTGTAGCACCGGCGAGGATCCTGAAATACTTTAGGTAGATTTTTAATTCCAAATTTTGCCCGGTCAGCGCCGTTAGGCTACTCTTTTCGATTTCCAACCTCAAAGAGATTTGTTTAAATCTGCTCAACAACAATACACACGGGCATCCGATCTGACTACCCAGAAACCAGGGGAAATTACTAAAAGTCCAAATCCACATGAAAAAATCCAAGCCCTTACCGGGGATTGAACCCGAACCTCTCGCGACCACGCAGCCCCCTGGTGCCGTTTAAACAAGAGAACAGACAACTCATTTGTTTACGCATCAAAAAATGGTATTTAAAGATGAGCTCTCATATGTATATCTTTGCAGGAGTTTATTTTTGTGAGCTTATTTTGTGTTCAGCCAATACTCGTCCGAATTTAATTGTTTTTGTTTTAAATCAACATTCACACATATTTCATACGTTATTAGTTTTTCTTAAATATATTCACAAAGATATATCTAAATTTCTTTGTTTACATTCAGAATGTCTAAGGTGTTCTTGTGCTAAGCATGTACTGAAATAAATGGATTCCATGACTGTTTTGCTGTTTATTTTGTGTTGGTTTTGATTGCCGGACAAGGTTTCACAAACATGAGATAGCCGGTCAAACATCCGTTGTTGCTTGCTGTGATAAACTAGGCAGATGTTACCGTAATACTATCATGATTTCATCCTCATTTTTCAGCCATGTTATGAGATGAGGGAAAATGGAATATGTGGTGACCACTGGAAAGATCTGTGGAAGGAGCGATAGAGGAAGACAACGAGAGAAGATTCTTGACAGTCTTGTTGCTTGGCATGGAGGTGTGTCGGCACACGAACTGATACATGCTGCAGGAGATCGCAGATTACGGAGAGGCATGATCACCAACGCCAGTCAGCAAGGCACGCGATGATGATCACTTGCTTCCCTTGTGCGGCTGGATAACATGACCAAACACCCTGGTCCACCTTGTATGCCCAGCAAATCTTCATGCATGCGTTTAATAGACCTCTTATGTTGATGTTTTCCACGTTATTGAGCTATCCATAATTCAGCTGTCATCTGATCGCAAAACGTCACAATATGTTAAATGTTGTGAAAAGAAATCACTAAATCTGTGACAGTTTACCAAATGCAATGGCTCAGCAGTGAGACGACAAAACCGCGACACTGGGCTACAGCCTGGTATCAATGAGACGACAAAACCACAACAATGAGCTACAACCTGGTATCAGTAGGACGACAAAACCACGACACTGGGCTACAACATGGTATCAGTGAGAAGACAAAACCACGACACTGGGCTACAACCTGGTATCGGTGAGACGACAAAACCACGACACTGGGCTACAACCTGGTATCAGTGAGACGACAAAACCACGACATTGAGCTACAACCTGGTATCGGTGAGACGACAAAACCACGACACTGGGCTACAACCTGGTATCAATGAAACGACAAAACCACAACACTGAGCTACAACCTGGTATCAGTAGGACGACAAAACCACGACACTGGGCTACAACATGGTATCAGTGAGACGACAAAACCACGACACTGGGCTACAACCTGGTATCGGTGAGACGACAAAACCACGACACTGGGCTACAACCTGGTATCAGTGAGACGACAAAACCACGACATTGAGCTACAACCTGGTATCAGTGAGACGACAAAACCACGACACTGGGCTACAACCTGGTATCAGTGAGACGACAAAACCACGACATTGAGCTACAACCTGGTATCAGTGAGACGACAAAACCACGACACTGGGCTACAACC